AAAATTAATCCGTGCAAGACGCCCAAAAGTATGAAAAAAAATTTTTTTTACCACATGAAATGTTAATTTTAATACACACAAACTGAAAAAGGCATGCACAATTACATGACACTTACTTTTATTGAAGACGGTGGTGATTGATGGGATGGGAGGAGGGTGTAGAGCATATCTTCTTACTGTTTAGAAGGGGAATCCTTCCATAGGACTGAGGTAGCAAGTCTTGCATGGGGTACTATAATGTTATTTCAAGATATTGGAGTAATAAAGATTGGATTGTGAAAAAGTGGGCTCCATAAGCGTGTATGCACCTGGTCAGAAGAATGTAGAGGATGAGAGATAATTGTTTGGAAATGTTAGAGTGAAGCTGCGGGTGATTTGAATCATGTGAGAGTAATGGTGGTTGGGGATTTAACAATGCTAAATTTGGGTTAAAATTTATGAAGAGGAGCATAGGTAAATTGGCATGCCCAGGGTAAATGTAAATGGGGATTCCTTTAATTGACTTGTTAGACAGAGAGTTGGTAATAGAAGCTTTTTGGGGCCCATTCATTATTTTCCATGAAAACACGAGAAAACATTAATAATACGAAATTTCCGGTATGCGATGTACGCATGTAAACAATGGAGCGGCAAGTAGGCACATTGGACCCCGGTACGATATTAATCCGTATGCGAGAGCTTAATCGTATGCGGGGCAAAATATTTGCGAAAAGTAATTTTCCGAAGAAATAATGAATCAAATTAATCGTGCAGACGCCCAAGTAGTATGAAAAAAAAAAATTTTACTACATGAAATATTAAGTTTAATGCAATAGAATAATTACAATAACAATAAAATAATTGACACTTACCTTTAATGAAGATCTGGTGATGATTGATGGGATGGAAGGAGGGGAGAGGTGTTAGTGTTTAGAAGGGGAATCCCCTTCCATTAGGACTTGAGGTAGCAAGTCCTTTTCCAGGATTACTTCCCTTCTTTTAATGCCACTAGGACCAGCTTGAGAGTCACTGGACCTCTGTCGCACAACAAATCTGTCCATAGATCTCTGTACCTCCCGTTCCTTTACGATTTGTCTAAAATGGGCCACAACATTGTCATTGTAATAGCTGTGTTAGGGTGATTTTCATCCATAAAGGTTTGCACTTCAACCCACTGTGCACACATTTCCTTAATTTTTGAAGTAGGCACAATGTATTCCACAACTGGTATAGGCTTCTCAGGGTTAGCCCCAAACCCTTCAAAATCTTTCTTAATTTCCATACTAATTCTCACCCTTTTTACCACAGGGTTGGCACTAGAAGCTTTTTTGGGGCCCATGGTGACTTATTTTGCAGAAACAAGCACCAAACAGTGATAATATGGATAATATGGAATGTACCGAATGTATCCTTAGATGCGCGCACACTGGCTGGCTTGTAAACACTGGCACACAAGGGGCAGTTCAGGCCACATGTGGACAGGTCTCGTACGAATCGTATCGAATACCGAGGAAAATTTTTTGCAATATAATGCATCGAATACCGGATTTATCGAATACCGATGCCATCGAATACCGGGGGTCCACTGTAGTTTATTAGATTATGTATTGGTGGATAAAAGGTTGATGGGTAGGCTCCAGGATGTACATGTTTATAGAGGGGCAACTGATATATCGGATCATTATTTAGTTGTAGCTACAGTTAGAGTAAAAGGTAGATGTGAAAAGAGGAAGGTGGCAACAACAAGTAAGAGGGAGGTGAAAGTGTATAAACTAAGGGAGGAGGAAGTTCGGGTGAGATATAAGCGACTATTGGCAGAAAGATGGGCTAGTGCAAAGATGAGTAGTGGGGGGGTTGAAGAGGGTTGGAATAGTTTTAAAAATGCAGTATTAGAATGTGGGGCAGAAGTTTGTGGTTATACGAGGGTGGGGGCAGGAGGAAAGAGGAGTGATTGGTGGAATGATGAAGTAAAGGGTGTGATAAAAGAGAAAAAGGTAGCTTATGAGAGGTTTTACAAAGCAGAAGTGTTATGAGAAGAGCAGAGTATATGGAGAGTAAAAGAAAGGTGAAGAGAGTGGTGAGAGTGTAAAAGGAGAGCAGATGATAGAGTGGGAGAGGCACTGTCAAGAAATTTTAATGAAAATAAGAAAACATTTTGGAGTTAAACAAGTTAAGAAAGCCTAGGGAAAGTATGGATTTGTCAGTTAAAAACAGAGTAGGGGAGTTAGTAGATGGGGAGTTGAAGGTATTAGGTAGATGGCGAGAATATTTTGAGGAACTTTTAAATGTTGAGGAAGAAAGAGAGACGGTAATTTCATGCACTGGTCAGGAAGGTATACCATCTTTTAGGAGTGAAGAAGAGCAGAATGTAAGTGTGGGGGAGGTACGTGAGGCATACATAGAATGAAAGGGGGTAAAGCAGCTGGAACTGATGGGATCATGACAGAAATGTTAAAAGCAGGGGGGGATATAGTGTTGGAGTGGTTGGTACTTTTGTTTAATAAATGTATGAAAGAGGGGAAGGTACCTAGGGATATTGTAAAAATTATAGAGGAATAAGTTTACTGAGTATACCAGGAAAAGTGTATGGTAGGGTTATAATTGAAAGAATTAGAGGTAAGACAGAATGTAGGATTGCGGATGAGCAAGGAGGTTTCAGAGTGGGTAGGGGATGTGTAGATCAAGTGTTTACATTGAAGCATATATGTGAACAGTATTTAGATAAAGGTAGGGAAGTTTTTATTGCATTTATGGATTTAGAAAAGGCATATGATAGAGCGGATAGAGGAGCAATGTGGCAGATGTTGCAAGTATGTAGAATAGGTGGTAAGTTATTAAATGCTGTAAAGAGTTTTTATGAGGATAGTGAGGCTCAGGTTAGGGTGTGTAGAAGAGAGGGAGACTACTTCCCGGTAAAAGTAGGTCTTAGACAGGGATGTGTAATGTCACCATGGTTGTTTAATATATTTATAGATGGGGTTGTAAAGGAAGTATAAATGCTAGGGTGTTCGGGAGAGGGGTGGGATTAAATTTTGGGGAATCAAATTCAAAATGGGAATTGACACAGTTACTTTTTGCTGATGATACTGTGCTTATGGGAGATTCTAAAGAAAAATTGCAAAGGTTAGTGGATGAGTTTGGGAATGTGTGTAAAGGTAGAAAGTTGAAAGTGAACATAGAAAAGAGTAAGGTGATGAGGGTATCAAATGATTTAGATAAAGAAAAATTGGATATCAAATTGGGGAGGAGGAGTATGGAAGAAGTGAATGTTTTCTGATACTTGGGAGTTTACGTGTCTGCGGATGGATTTATGAAGGATGAGGTTAATCATAGAATTGATGAGGGAAAAAGGCGAGTGGTGCGTTGAGGTATATGTGGAGTCAAAAAACGTTATGTATGGAGGCAAAGAAGGGAATGTATGAAAGTATAGTGGTACCAACACTCTTGTATGGGCGTGAAGCTTGGGTGGTAAATGCTGCAGCGAGGAGATGGTTGGAGGCAGTGGAGATGTCCTGTTTAAGGGAATGTGTGGTGTAAATATTATGCAGAAAATTCGGAGTGTGGAAATTAGGAAAAGGTGTGGAGTTAATAAAAGTATTAGTCAGAGGGCAGAAGAGGGGTTGTTGAGGTGGTTTGGTCATTTAGAGAGAGTGGATCAAAGTAGAATGACATGGAAGGAAGGCGGGGTAGGGGTCGTCCTCGAAAGGGTTGGAGAGAGGGGGTAAAGGAGGTTTTGGGGGGAGGGGCTTGGACTTCCAGCAAGCGTGCGTGAGCGTGTTAGATAGGAGTGAATGGAGACGAATGGTACTTGGGACCTGACGATCTGTTGGAGTGGGAGCAGGGTAATATTTAGTGAAGGGATTCAGGGAAACCGGTTATTTTCATATAGTCGGACTTGAGTCCTGGAAATGGGAAGTACAATGCCTGCACTTTAAAGGAGGGGTTTGGGATATTGGCAGTTTGGAGGGATATGTTGTGTATCTTTATATGTATATGCTTCTAAACTGTTGTATTCTGAGCACCTCTGCAAAAACAGTGATAATGTGTGAGTGAGGTGAAAGTGTTGAATGATGATGAAAGTCTTTTGGGGGATTTTCTTTCTTTTTTGGGTTACCCTGCCTCGGTGGGAGATGGCCGACTTGTTGAAAAAAAAAAAAACGTATATCAGCAACCAAACCAATTTTGTTATACTGTATTAATTCACTCTTGTATCTTAGAGCTATCCTGGGAGATTTGGACAGTTTTAAATATTATTGTCAGCCTTTTTGTATATATTTTTAAATTGTATAGTGTTTTGTTGTGTACAGCATTTTGTTTAGACTTTCACAAAATTAGCAAACAACCTGAAGCATATTTTGATTTGCAAAATATTTTTCTTTGTTTAGTGCATGATTTGTTTAGTATATGAATTTAGTAGGGCATAAGCTACATAAAAATTCTACATACTATATTATTATAACTGCAGTTAAAATTGAAAGGAAACAAAACCCTGGTAAGTTTTTCTCGTCTCCAACACAGATGTACACATGCAAGTTGCCAAATTTTAACAGGCAATATGGACTGGAATATAATTTGGCTGTACATTGCTGTACATAGCAAGAATTTGGTCTTCAAAGACAAGTTCACTGCGAACACAAAAGAGGAAGTTTTTAGCATTATCTGCCATTAAAAGTCTATTACTGTGGTGGTACTCATCCCATGAACTTCTTTTAGTTATTAAAATTTTCACAAAATTAATACTTTTAGCCATATAAAGTCTGCAATAAGAAATATTATTTAACACAGGGCTTGCAAGTAAATTTAGTCAAGATTTGTTAATTTTGTAAGTCCGTGTCTTGTGGATGAAAAATACGACAAGTCAGATTTTTGTCTTAGGGTTCCAGTGATGACTTAATTATTACTTGTTCATTTTGCTATAATTTATATATGGTGTCAGGGTATAGTTGTCATAGTTTTGGAAGAGACTTGGGAAATCAATAAATTATATTATTCTTGAATAACTTGCACTTAATTTATTTCAGTCACCGACACAAGCTATTACAACACTGAAGAAAGCAAAGAAATTGGCAGCAGCTAATACTCCTGAAATAAAGAAGAAAACGGTCAAGGCGCAGACCCTGAAAGTGGCGGCATTGGAAACTCCAAGCTCACAGACTTCAAAGAAGAAAAAAGGCAAAAGCAAGAAGCCACAGACCCCTAGTATAGAGGGAATTCATGTAGATACACTCCAGACCACCCCCAAAACACCAAAGAGAGAGAAAACATTTACACTACAGTCTCCAAAAGAAGAGAGTAATCAAACAGAGCCACAGAAAAAAAAGCTTAAATCCTCTAAGTCAGAGGCTGAAAAGCCAAAGATAACTAATCAGGATAACTCTACTGAAAAAATACAGACAGTCGTTACAGAATATTCAGGTGGGGCTTCCAGAGGAAGAGGAGCAACACGGGGAGGTTTCCGGGGAGGTAGAGGCAGCAGCAGCTTTCGTGGTACAATGAATGGCTTCAGGGGAAGAGGTGGTTTCAGAGGAAACAGGGGCAGCTTCAGAGGTGGCTTTAGGGGAGGAAGAGGAGGCAGAGGTGGACGAGGAAGAGGCGGTTCAGTGAGTATTGCCATAATTTTTTCATATAAATGTATTAAATATTGGCAATTGGTTTTTTTTTGTTTTAAATGACAGTGGAGAGAAGGTTATTTTTTCAGGGTGATGTTAACCCTGTAGGTTCAGTTGTGTTCAACATTTTGCAGTATTATAATTCCGTATAAAAAATATACATAGTTTGGTCTTTTAAGATCTACTTGGAGGGTATTCTGGGGATCAACACTCCAGTTGCCCAGTTCTTGACCATTTACAAAGAATATTCTTCATGAAGAATCCAGGTAGACACTTGCAACTGACAGTATTACAGACAAAGGCACCAAAATATCTAGTCTGTACTTTTCTGAGGTTTTTTCATGACGGTCAAAATCTTACGCAGTCAACCTTTATATCTAGGGTTTACTGTATCTGAATTCACAGATTGGAGTTTCATGGTAGCTACAGTAGTCTTCTGTTTTTTGTAGTTTATTTTTTTGGTGCGCTCATTTTCTGTGTATCTAATTCTAGTTTTTGCATTTGAATATATCATATTTTTACAGGTTGCTGAAAAAGATCCCTGCACTGTATACATGAGCTTCACAAATCCTATTGATGCAACAGCTGCTTCTGAGTTACTGGAACTTGCAAAATCTGCCTCACACATGAAGTTTGGAAGGTAAGGACCAATATACAGTGGAACCTCTGCTTTCTTTTGCCCTGGTTTTCGTCGAATTCAGTTTTCGACGACTATTTGTCAAAATTTTGTTCCAGTTTTCATTCATCACCTTGGGTGGTTAAATTTTATTGGTCTGATATTTTTATCACATAAGTAGGGTTTTCCAGTGGGTAGTGGAGAACAACTTGACATTCAGTAGTGATAAGTCCTGCTACTTAGATATAGAAGAATGAAAATAGGGACACTGTTTACAAAACTCAAGAGGATCATCAAGTATCACACAAGGGACACGTAAAAGGTCTGGTATAATTATATCGGTTGACCTTTCTTTCAAAGAACACAATAAGGCAAATGTCATGATAGCCAGGAAAATAAGGTGGATAATGAGAACTTTCAAAATAAGGGAAGAGTGCCAGTGGTGACATTATTCAAATCACTTGTGCTCTATCATTTAGAGTACAGCTAGGTCTCAGTGCGAGTAATGAATCCCCTGGAATAGTTGCATTATTCGAATTTACTCTTAGAATTATATTAAATTTTTGTGCATGATTTGAAGTTTGGGGGAAAACTTAGCATTCGAACTTGCACTAATCGAGACCTACCTGTGGGAAAGATTGCAGAGAGTACGTAGAAGTGAATATATTTATATGTTGGGAGTGCATATTTTGGCAAACGTTGATAAGGTGAATTCATCAGAATAGATGAAGGAAGAAGGTATATTAAAGTGTTTGAGTCTGGAGAGAAAAAATTATCACTTTTAAAATGGGAATATTGTGCCTGCACCTTGGTAAATGTGAGGCATAGTCATTGAGTATTTGCAATGAGGTATAGAGCTGTAGAGATGTATATGAAAATGTGTGGTGTGGATATTATGCAAAGAATGAGTAAAAAAAAAAATAGGAGGCTGTGTGGTGGCATGATAGGTATAATTTAGAGCATGGAAAAGGAATTGTGGCGATGTTTGGTCATTTTAAAAAAGGAAGCAAGGTGGTTTTACCAAGAGGCTGTACAAATCTGGGGCAGTTGAGAGGGTGGTGGTGGGGATGTCTGAAGGAAGGTGGGTGTGGAGGGTTTAAGTGGTTAGGGTTTGAGTACCTAGCAGGCATTGTATAAATATGGGTTTGTTTTTAGTAGTAGAGACAGGTGGTTTGAGTTATTTGAACTGCTGCTGGAGTATTTGAAGGAAGTTAGGAAACCTAGTTAGCTAGATTTCATCTTTGGGGTTGAGAAGTATTGTGCCTCAATTCTGAAGGTTGTGGAGTACAGTGATTCTGTGGATCTTTTGAATTGTAATTTCTGTTCACTTCTGGAAAAACAGCTAAAGAATGAGTGATGGTAATTGCATTTTCCTTTGGGTCACCTGCATTGGTTGGAAATGGCTGAATTAATTTTTTTTTTTTTCAGAAACTGCTTTCTCACATTTGGAACGGCAGAAGAAGCCAGTGAGCTGTTGAAAAAGGCATCGGACATGGAATTTGGTGGCTTGAAGCCTTATGTAGATAATGCATACAAAGCACATGGTCCGTAAGTATATTTAAATTTTTGTGTTGTTGCTTGACTGATAGTGTATAGTTTTGTATTTTTTGGTACTGCACATTGTTTTGATCTTGTTTATGAGAATTAGAATTTTAGAGGGCTTGTATGAAGACCTTCAAATAAATTAAATAATAGAGTATGCATGCTCCTTAGATCCACCTGACGGGACCTAGTCCATCAACTTTTTTGGTTGACCATCGTTGGTGTATGAGTCATTGGCATGCAAGACTACTGTACCTCCTCCTGCCAGCAAGCCTTACCAACCACTCCTGGCTATCTTGTCCTGGCTAGGAGAGAAATTGCTTTGTCCTGCAGTTTCTCTTGTTGTGATTTATGTTGGTGTAAAAGCTGGTGTTGGGGACAAAACAATATTTTGAATATCTCTTAAATTTTATATAGCCTCTCCTCATTTAGCGATGTAGTAGTTTACCAACGACTTGGACTTACGATGGGCTCTCTGACCAGTATTCATATCTAAATAATGCATATTGGAGCTAATTTCATCTATTCTTATTATTACAATATTCAGTACACTACTGTATAAACATTTAAAAAGATACCCGAAATGTTATAAATGGTGCAAAGGTGATATTAAAACAACATCAAAGATTGTTGATACAAACCCACTGTCAGTGGAATGCCTTCCATCTGAACAAAAAACTAATGGAAAAATAAATAAATAAACGACTCTAGGAAAAATAAGCATAACGACTTTTGAGGATTTTACTTAAATTTTAAATATAATAAAAATGGCCTTTTGTTCTGGTGCTGTAGTTGGGCAGGAGTAGGTAAGGCCCTGGACAGATCTCCGATGTTAAAGATGATGTAGGTTATCCTGGGCGGATGGTAACAGTCCGATGTTTTGGAATCTCCTCTACCACTTGGTTGGAGCACCACAAGTAGAATAAATAAGGGTCGGTAGTAGTCGAATAATGTTAACGAGTCCAATTAACAAGTGTCTTGCTCCTTTATCTGGTATCTACCCTGAATGACCACGCCAGGAACAGAGCTGGTAATAAGAAAAAATAAACTGGTTACCAATGGTTATGATAATATAACATTTAAGAATGAAAAAGAGCGGTAAATGCCAAAATCATTACTGGTAACCAGCAAACAAAAGAAAGCAACGAACAGTAATACTCCTGGTAGACCACCTTACCTGATCAAAAGTGGAGGTGAAGTGACTCTCCAAACTTCAACCCACACCAGGTAAGGTCAATACTACCAGGAGTAGAAAATGAAACATATCAGACACCAGGAACTAGTTTTGCCCCAGCCCGCCAGAGAGGGGGGGGGGTGCATGACGTAACTCTCTAATGGTTCCTGGTTGCCTGAACAACCCTAACCCCACTTACAACCCACTACCATTATAGTATGCTTCTCACTTAGCGATGAATTCGTTTACCAATGAGGTCTTATGAACGGAACTCTGTCGTTAAGCAAGGAGAGCCTGTACTATGAAAACATGGCTCTGTCATATCTGACCTTCCCATCCAAAGCAATTGTTATTTTGATAGTACTTTAATGAGGTATACACGGTAAGTATAGAGAAATATGCATACACAAATAACCCGCACATAGAAGAGAGGGGCTTATGACGACGTTTCGGTCTGACTTGGACCATTTACAAAGTCACATATGCATATACAGTATTTGTTATTAACAAAGTACACCTACCATCCAACTTACGACCTGCTCGACTTACGATCATGTTTTTTATGCCAAATTTCTGGAAAATAAACAACTATTTGTGTTGTACACAGTGTTTATCCTAAACCTTACAGTATAAAATACAGTACTAACAACATAAAAAGTAAAGTAAAACATGAAATACCAAAATAGAACAATAAAATAGTCATTACAAAAATGTTTTGTTGATATTCAGTAGTAAAGTTCAACTTATGACCATTTCGACTTACGACCGGTTTCTCGGAACCGAACTCGGTCGTAAGTCGGATGGTAGGTGTATAATAATTTAGAATTTTGGCTCTAAAGATTTTTTTAAGTTTTTATAACAAAGTACAGGAACTTGTTCACTTGCTTCATCACACTGGCATGTGTGAGCATGTTAGATAGGAGTGAATGGAGATGAATTTTTTGGGGGGGACTTGACGAGCTGTTGGAGTGTGAGCAGGGTAATATTTTGTGAATGGATTCGGGGAAACTGGTTATCGGGACTTGAGTCCTGGAGGGGAAAAGTATAATGCCCGCACTTTAAAGGAGGGGTTTGGTATGTTGGCTGTTTGGAGTGACATCTGGACTGTTGTATATGGGTGCCTCTGCAAAGACAGTGATTATGTGTGAATGATGGTGAAAGTTTCTTTTTTTGGGTCACCCTTCCTTGGTGGGAGACAGCCGACATGTTAAAAAAAAAAGTTAAATATGTTGTTGGTTACATAAAATTTAAATTCTCCAAATTTTGTGGCTTTCATATTTATTGAGATAATTGTATGTATGTACCTTTATATACTGACATAAGTTGTGATATTAATATGTTAAATATTTTTCAACTTGTACACCGCCTCTCCTCACTTTGACGGAATTCTGTTCCTAAGACCACGTCGTTAAATGAATTCGTCGCTAAGCAAGGAGCATGCTATAATGGTAGCGAGTTTGTATCAACCATCTTTGATATTGTTTTATGTCACCTTTGCACCTTTGGTATATTTTTAAATGTTTATACACTAGTGTACTGTATATTGAAATAAACAATAGAGTAATCAGCTCTAATATACATTATTTAAATATGAACACTGGTCAGAGAGCTGTCTTAAGTCCGAGTCGTCAGTAAAAGAGTACGTCGCTAAGTGAGGAGAGGCTGTGTATAGGAACTTTATTGTTTTTAACTATTGATGACAGCCTCTTGTGTCCCTTTCACCCCCTCCTATGAGCACCTATTAACATTTTGTTGCTTTTCCAGGAAAGAAGCTGAAAAAAGAAGTTCAGATAATGACACTACATTATCGCCTGCCAAAAAGATAAAAGTGAGTAGAATGAAGAGATATGTATATAAAGAAATTGCATTTTGTGGAGCTTGTTATATGCTTTAGTAGGTATTTTTAACATGTTAGTGATGTGTGGGTAGAGATATTCCCTAGCCAACCAACTCTAGGAAGATGTCATTTTAATAATTTAATTGCGACCTTGTGTATATCTTGTTCAACAGACAATGTATGATGCCTGTGGATTATATACCAATATATTTTCTCTACTGGACAACCCATGTAGATAAGTTTTGTGTGTGTGTGTGTTAAGGTAGTACAAGTCCTTTTTCACTTTCAATAGCATGCTCCTTAGATCCACCTGATGGGACCTAGTCCACCAACTTTATTGGTTGGTTATCGTCGGTGTATGAGTCATTGGCATGCAAGACTATTATACCTCCTTCTGCCAGTTAGCCTCACCATCCACACCTAGCCGCCCTGTCCTGGCTAGGATAGAGAGAGATTGCCTTGTCTGCAGTTGCTCTTGTTGTGACTTATGCTGGTGTAAAGGCTGGTGTTGGGGACAAAATAATTTATTTCATTTTTTATTTTATGAAGCTATGAAAACATGATACAGGTAGTAGGTTAGTAGACAGCAACCATCCTGGGAGGTACTTTTGTCCTGCTAAATGAATGTAAAACAAACTTGCATTTGGTTTTACACAGTGGTAGGAGTGCTGGTATCTTCTTCATCTCGTAAACACTAAGATAACAGGTACATTTTGCTACTGCTTACATTAGGTCATACTATGTATGCAAGTATACACCATCTAAATTTATTATTTTCTTAGTCACTGCCTTTGCAGAGGCACTATTATGTATGAGTGATGGTGAAAGTATTTTTTCTTTTTGGGTCACCATGCCTTTGTGGGAAATGGCGGCTGACTTGTTAAAAAAAAAAAAAAAAATTTCCTTTCACCTCCATGGGGAGATAGAGAAGAATCCTAACTCTGTAAGCTGTAAGTGTTGTAAGAGCAGACTAAAATGCCGGGAGCAAGGAGCTAGCAACACATTTTTCTGTATAAATTACTGAATGTAAAAGGAAGAATTTTTTTTTTTTGGGGGGGACGGGGGGGTCACCCTGCCTTGATGAGAGATGGCCTAATCTTCCCATTCATAACAAGGTATTAGATTTGAAGTTTTTTTTTTTTTTAACACCGGCCATCTCCTACTGGAGGAGAGTGACCCAATTATTATTATTATTATAATCAAAAAGAAGCGCTAAGCCACAAGAGGGTGACCCAAAAGAAGAAATGCTTTCACCATCACTCACTCGCATCATTGTCTTGCCAAAGGTATGCCAATACTATAGTTCAGATGCCCCTCCAAACTGTAAATAACCCCACCCCTCTTTCAGAGTGCAGGCGCACTACTTCCCACCTCCAGGACTTAAGTCCGGCTAATCAGTATCCCTGAATCCCTTCATAAATGTTAACTTGACATGCTGTTGGAGTGTGAGCAAGGTATGAAAATGACTTGCCCACACTCCTTTCTAACATGCCTGCTGGATGTCCAAGACCCTCTCATACAAAACCTCCTTAATCCCCCTACCCTGCTTTCCCTCCACTACAGAATTATAGACCCTCTGTTATCCTATTTTGCTTCACCAGAAGATAATACTCCATATTATTGCATATCATTTACACTACACATTCCCCTCAGACGACATCACTGCCTCCAGCCTCCTTGTTGCAACATTCACCGTCCATGTTTCACACCCATATAAAAGTGTTGGTACCACTATACTCTTATATATTCCCTTCTTTGCCTCTATGGATAACATCCTTTGTCTTCACAGATTCCTCAATGCACCACTCGCCTTTTTTTTCTTCATCAGTTCTATGATTCACCTTGTCCTTCATAAACCCATCTGCTGACAGGTCTACTCCCAGGTATCTGAACACATTCATTCCTTCCATTCTTCCTCCTTCCAATTTTATTTTACCTAACTCGTTTAATATCTTCATCACCTTACTCTCATCTGTATTCATTTTCAACTGTTTAGTTTTCATTAGTAATATGAATAACCCAAGCAGAATTGTGGAGATAAAAGGCTATGAGAAGATTAAAAAATACTCTACTTCACATTTGTGTTGAACGTTCACTGACGGAATTTAAGAACTAGTCAGTTACATGTTGAAAAAAAAAAAAAAAAGCAAGTCGGCCGTCTCCCACCGAGGCAGGGTGACCCAAAAAAGAAAGAAAATCCCCAAAAAGAAAATACTTTCATCATCATTCAACACTTTCACTACACTCGCACATTATCACTGTTTTTGCAGAGGTGCTCAGAATACAACAGTCTAGAAGCATACACATATAAAATACACAACATATCCCTCCAAACATCCCAAACCCCTCCTTTAAAGTGCAGGCATTGTACTTCCCATTTCCAGGACTCAAGTCCGACTATATGAAAATAACCGGTTTCCCTGAATCCCTTCATGTATACCATGTATAACATGTATACCATGTTAATGAAAATGGAGATCCCCTTTCCTTATAAGAAAATTAATAAAGCTTAGTATTGATTGTGTGTTGAATGACGATGCAAGCATTTTCTTTACTTTTGGATCACCCTGCCTCGTTGGGAAATGGCCGATATGTTAAAAAAAAAAAATTGTGGCATTAAATATGTAACTATTAATTTTTACCCATAGTTTCATGACAGTAATATTGATTATAGTACTAAAATTACAGAGGGGTTACTTTAGATGACTGAGTCAATATAAAAATACTCTGAATTTCCCTCTCAGGTTGATGCCAAGGCCAAGGCTGAAGCAGATAAAGAAGATGAAGAGATGGAGGACGATACTAACGAAGAGGATGGAGATGCAGGCGAACGTGAAGAGGAAGATGGCACTGATGGTGATGATGCTGAGGAAGTTGTGGGTGGTGAAGATGACGACGACGATGATGAGGGTGAAGACGACGAAGGCGATGAATAAATTTTAAACACTCAAAATTTTCATAAGCTGCTTTGGAATAGTTATTCGGTTCCCTGTGGAAAATTTAGTAGTTAGGGTATTCTTGTATCTGTATTTCCCTTGTTATAGTGTGGATGAAAGAAATTGAGAGTGAAGTGCGAATTGTATTCCAAAGAATTTAATAAAACCTAGCTTCTTACTGATAACTTTTAATTTTACCCTTGTGCATTTAAAGTACCTATGGTACCCATGCAGTCCCATACAGGCTCTCTGGAACCTTAGTCCTTTTAAACTGTATATACCGTACAGTGATTATGTACGAGTGAGGTGGAAGCGTTGAATAATGGTAGTACGTATTTTCTATTTGGGTCACCCTGCCTCTGTGGGAGACTGCCGACTTGTTGAAAAAAAAAAAATACCGTATTATATAAAATAGTATTAATATAAAGTTTAACACTTTAAAACTTTAAAATTTATATTGCCAAATATTCTGTTAATACTGTAGATTTGAAAAACCATTTTAACGAAAATCATGCAAGATTACCTTTTCACTGGTTGGTGGAATGTTCAAAGCAGCTGCTAGCTGCATGAATGCAAGAGAGTTCATACAGGTAGGAGTTAACTGTTCTTTGTGTCAGAGGCAGAGAATGACTGCACAGCCACCTAGGCCAGTGCACTTAATCAGATGTCCAGCACAATTTACAGGCCTATCTGGAAATGGGAACAGTGGTACATTGACTTGTACCTCACAGAATCTGGAAGAGCTTTTATTTTCTCTAGTTTTGGTTTAGGCCCTGACCTCTGCTGACAGTGTTCATGGCATGGTTACTGTGCTCTTGTAAATTTTGCTATCTTGGCCCTGAACCCTTTGTGACATTGGCTCCTGTTGATGGGAAATTAAACCCCTTTTATACACGAGCTCAGCGAGTTACATAAAGTGGTAAAGCATATAACAGTTGCACATCTGACCCCAATTTTTCTAGAGACAGGTGAGCTTGTTACTTGACAATGCCATCCATGTAACAGTTTTAAGCTTGACACTGAAGCAGATCACTCCTGGCAGTGTTATTGGACCTGCAGCATTTGGCAATACACGTAGTTTGAAGGCCAGCATAATGATTACCTAGCTTTCCACATACAAGCTAAGACCCTAGCAGAAGAGCAGTGGATTACCAAATGGTTTTGATTTTTTTTTTTTTGTACTTTTATATATACATTATTTTTTCAGTTAGGCTGATGTTAGTCATGTCAACATAAATAGCAAACTTCGAGCTTTGGAACAAAATCAATATACAAAATGACAATCTACTCCTCAGCCACGAACTTTGCTCAGTGTGTAGAAGTTGAGGACTCTTGATATGCAAGAGCCCTCAAGGAAGGTTTCTTGACGCTGGTGAGGGGATCCATCTAGCGAATTAGATCTGTGCTCCAGTTCCCTGAATTGAGCCTGAATACCTTCCATCCTCTCCCCTACGTGTGCTGTATAATCCTACGGGTTTAGCGCTCCCCATGATTATTATAATAATAATAATATGCAAGTCGTGAATGAGTTCAGTACTTTGCAGAAACTCAGCCCCATTTATCTGGCTGTGTATGTATTGTCTAGGCTGTCGGCTATAGTACTTCCATTGACAATCATGGCCTCATTCACTGACTGCAGAAGGATGCATGGAATTTCCTTGCAACTATGCAGCGCTGTATAGCCCTTGTGGCTTAGCGCTTCTTTTTGATTATAATAATATAATCCTTGCAACTATTTCTTAATGAAATTATGGATCTGATGTTGACCAATCTCCATAGCACTCTTGACTGGTGCTGTTACTGAAGTGCAAGTGTCTTAAAATTTGCTTAATCTCCTGAGAGTTATCTCTACAACATGAGAAATTAGTTTTGTCTTCAATAATCATCTGTTGCTGGTTGTCCGGTGATTTAAAAGAATATAAAGATGCCAATGAATTATTCTAAATCATCAGTGTTGGATGTAGAATTTTTTAGTGTGCACAAAGGTTTGCATTGCAAGCAATGCGAGTCCTTGCATAAAATACTCTTAATGGATGCCAGCACAGCTGGAGTCCCCTCTTGATATAAGTGGTGACAAGTTTGCCAATCCATGGCCATTCTTTTCTTGAAAGCTGGGGGTTGTTCCTCCATCTTCACATATTAACATAACTAAATGGCATTGGCTTTATCTTCAATGTAAATTGATTATAAACTCTTAGAAGAACAAACTAAAATATTTAACATCTTAAAATGTACTTAACTGTAAATACCTGGTATTTGATTTAAAAATCCCTCTGTTAGGTCCAAGATGGACCTAACCTCAAGGTCACAGTCTTTAGTGGATGCTGTCCATTTTGAAGGCTCTTGCTTGTAGAAACTGTGGGTATTGATCTGGAAATAAATTTTATGCATGTTTTCAGTGTGTTATTTTTACCTTCAACATATATGCTTACAATATCACTAAAATTATTTCCCTAAGAGTTGGACATTTATCATGTCTTCAGAATCATGTGTTGGTACTTATGGTACTACTGCAGAAGAAAAATTACTGTCTTCATTTCAATCATGCATTGATTCAAGATGCCTGTACTGGACTAGTGCTTTTACCCATACAATGCTCTTGATTTCTTCATGGGCATTACATCCTGACAATTTACAAAATCTTGTTTTAATCCTGCCATCACTTTTTTTTCCTACGCGCTGGCCGTTTTCCACCGAGGCAGGGTGACCCCCCCCCCAAAAAAAAAAAAAAAAAAAAAAAAAACCATCATTCACACAATCACTGTCTTTGCAGAGGCACGCAGATGCAACAGTTCAGATATCACTCCAAACAGCAAATATCCCAAACCCCTCCTTTAAAGTGTAGAGATGGTACTTTTCCCCTCCAGGACTCAAATCCAGCTAACTTTTATCAACACTAAATATCACTAGCTATGTCATATGAAATTTCTGTCCAAGGTTTCAGCTTAAGCACATCTAACCTTATGTCACCTCACTATGCTTCCTATACGTATACGTATAAATTTTTTGTTAACACTGGCCGTTTCCCGCAGATGCAGCGTAACCCGAAAAAGAAGAAACACATATACAGTGTCTAAGGGATATGTATGATGTAAATATTATGCAGAGAATTCGTAGTGTGGAAATTAGGAGGTGTGGAGTTACTAAAGGTATTATTCAGAGGGCTGAGGAAGGGTTGTTGAGGTGGTTTGGTCATTTAGAGAGGAAGGAGCAGAATAGAATGACTTGGAGGGTGTAGAAATCTGTAGTGGAGGGAAGGGTCGTTCTAGGAAAGGATGGAGGGGTGCATAAAAAGTTGTGTGTGCAAGGAGCTTGGACATACATAGAGCAGGCATGTGTGAGCGTATTAGGAGTGAATGGAGATGAATGGTTTTTGGGACCTGAGCTGTTGGAGTTTGAGCAGGGTAATATTGTGTGAAAGGATTCAGGGAAATCGGTCAGCCGGACTTGAGTCCTGGAGATGGGAAGTACAATGCCTACGCTTTAAAGGAGGGGTTTGGGAAATTGCAGGGTGACCCGAAAAAGAAGAAACATTTCATCATCACTCACTCCATCAGTGTCTTGCTAAAGGCATGCCGAATGTCGATACTACAGTTAAAAAATTGCAATATGCAACCCTGTAATATGCTGGTGTTTCCATGCCGAGGACAGATCCCTGCCTACAGAAAATTTCCGTCAGTAAATCTCCGTGTGTATCCGTTCCTGAAGATCCCCACAGTGAATCTCCCGCTATGATATAAATAGAACAGTGAGCTATGTCAGCAATCTGTGCTATTTAGGTCGTCAAATCAACCGTCCCAGAAATATAGAACAAACTGTGACAGGCTCTCTTAAATCACCCTTGTCATCGCTTCATGCCATGGACTAAGAGTTTTTTCCAACACCTACTGTATATGTCCCTACCACTTCCTGAAACCCTTTTTCTCATTCTGTATAATGTCTCGTGCGCTGACTTTGAATGCAAGAAAGTTGCTAAAAAATATCACCATTTTACGAGTTAGGATTGTTAATTTATTTGGGGTTTTCTTGAAAACCTTGATTGATGCCTGACATAAGTATTATTATAATCATAGGGGAGGGCTAAACCTGTAGGATTATACAGCGCATGGGGGGGAATGGAAGGTATTTAGGCTTAATTCAGGGAACTGCAGCACAGATCTAATTCCCTAGATCAAGAGCCCCTCACTAGCGCCAAGGAACCTCCCTTGAGGGGCTAACATAGGTAGAACCATCATATACCTATCCAAATGAACATCATTACGTGGGCCAGTAACCTCTCGGTGTTCTGTCTTTTGATAGTGCACCATTTTGCTGCAGAGGATTTATCAGTGCACCGTGTATAGGATCCTCCAGATCAATGTGATGATAAATCTTTCCCAAAGTTCCTGCAGTTCCCTATAAAGGGAACTATTTCATTCTTGCACCTGCAAATGTGTAGCTGGAACTTGCTCGTGTAACTGTCCTATGTCTGTCTGCCTTGTTCTGGTGTAATTACCAAAGCTTGATTACCTCCTCCAGCATCCCTGTCTGGGTGTGTCCCCCGTCTACAACTGACACTCCCAGACCTTGTGTTCTGAGTGTTGATGACCAGTGTCAATGTCGGTCTTTCATCTAAAGTTTTCTGTAGTTTTCCCAACAAATACAGCTGGCCACCAGTCCTTACACCTCCTCACGTTTTTTTTTTTTGTTGCGTGCGCGCGCGCGCGTGTGTGTGTGTGTGTGTGTTGTGTGTGTGTGTGTGTGCTGATGTGTGTGTGTGTGCTGTGTGTGTGTGTGTGTGTGTGTACTCACCTATTTCTGGTTGCAGGGGTCGAGTCTTAGCTCCTGGCCCCGCCTCTTCACCGGTTGCTACAGTGTGTGTGTGTGTGTGTTAGTTACCATTTTGTCCTAGGCACATGTCGATTAGACACTAGGCCTGTTCTATATGCGTGTGTGTATATGCGTGTGTGCATGTGTATGTGTGTGTGTGTGTGTGTGTGTGTGTGTGTGTGTGTGTGTGTTTAACTCCAGGGTGGGCATATATCAACACCACTATGACTCACGAAATCGCAATAACAATTGCAAACAAATCAAGGAACGGACGAGGTTTGAACCCATGACAAGCGAGTCCCACTCACAAGCCAGTGCGATGACCACTCGACCACCTGGCTCTAAGAAGATTCATCCAACTAGATTTAAACCTTCCCTCTCATTCCATGATTAATAACACTTCCGTATGCAAAATAAAGAAGTCAGGGAGAGAGCAGGAGAAACACATCCTCCCAACTACAAGAGCCACAAGTTAAGCCTCCTGGCTCACACTGACCCCACGACCACCAGCAGGGAGAAGATATCTCGTTGACAGGTTACCCTGCGTCAGTCAGTCACACATTCATAGTTTCCCAGACAAAGACTTAAGGATTCTCTAGACATTTATATACGTATTTTCAATAGTGATACTTTCAAGTAATTTCCGTGCTAATACTCATAATATTTACATGATAAAAATGAATCTCCAAATAATATTCATGAACATTTTATATGTAAGCTCATATCATTTCAGCTTCAAATATAATGTAGATAATTATATCACAATTTTTAAAGGGTGGACCGGTAAGCCAGCGGAAGGCCTCTGTCAGATGACCAAAGCTCCAAAAGCGGGTCATCATCTAAGATCCGCGGTGGTCTGGATGTGACCCGGTGGTCTGGATGTGACCCGGTGGTCTGATGGCTAAAGCTCCCGCTTCACACACGGAGGGCCCGGGTTCGATTCCCGGCGGGTGGAAACATTTGACACGTTTCCTTACACCTGTTGTCCTGTTCACCTAGCAGCAAATAGGTACCTGGGTGTTAGTCGACTGGTGTGGGTCGCATCCTGGGGGGCAAGATTAAGGACCCCAATGGAAACAAGTTAGACAGTCCTCGATGACGCACTGACTTTCTTGGGTTATCCTGGGTGGCTAACCCTCCGGGGTTAAAAATCCGAACGAAATCTTATTTTATCTTATCAGGAAACTTGTCCTGTTTCCTGACGAACCTTACCTAACCTAACTCCAAATATTATGGATATAATTATTTCCCAACACTTAATATACTTAAACTTACTATTAACATAGTCATGTGAGGAAATCACAAGTATTAAGGAATATGTCATAAGGTATATTTTTTTATTAACACATCGGCTATTTCCCACCAAGGCAGGGTGGCCCCGAAAAAGAAAAACTTTCATTATTCACTCCATCACTGTCTTGCCAGAGGTGAACTTACACTAGTTATAAAACTGCAACACTAACACCCGTCCCTCAGAGTGCACTGTACTTCCCATCTCCAGGACTCAAGTCCGGCCTGCCGATTTTCCTGAATCCCTTCATAAATGTTACCTTGCTTACACTCCAACAGCACATCAAGTCCTAAAATTTGTCTCCATTTGCTCCTAGCACGCTTGCTGGAAGTCCAAGCCCCTTGCACACAAAACCTCCTTTACCCCCTCCCTCCAACCTTTCCTAGGCCGACCCCTACCCCGCCTTCCCTCCACTACAGATTTATATACTCTCGAAGTCATTCTATTTCGTTTCATCCTCTCTACATGTCCAAACCATTTCAACAACCCCTCCTCAGCCCTCTGGATAATTGTTTTGGTAATCCCACACCACCTCCTTATCTCCAAACTATATTCACATCACACATTGCCCTCAGACATGACATTTCCACTGCCTCCAGCCTTCTCCTTGTTGCAATATTCACAACCTATGCCTCACACCCACACAAGAGCGTTGGCATAACTATACTCTCATGCATTTCCTTCTTTGCTTTCATGGATAAAGTTCTTTGTCTCCACAGACTCCTCAGTGCACCACTCACCTTTTTCCCCTCGTCAATTCTATAATTCACCTCATCCTTCATAGACCCATCTGCTGACACATCCACTCCCATATATCTGAACACATTCACCTCCTCTGTACTCTATCCCTCCATTCATATAAATCATATAAACATATATAAATACACATGATACTCCTCCAGTGTTACATTCCTAGAGGAGGTCTGGTCTGGGACCAAACCTCCTCTAGGTGTCCTCTGGAAGCGACTACAAGTAACCTACGTTCCCATATTGTCATCCCTGAATAGAAAGTTCTTACAAACTCTTCTGTTTATGTACGTAATATTGATTCAGTGCGCCTTTGACAAACTGAAACGACAGTCCTTACCTTTGTTCAGGAAAAGTGATACAAGAGTTTTGCAATTTCAAGTCTAATGCAATACATTACCCTGAAGAGGCAATGTCCTCCTCCTAAGAGGATGGCAGCAGCCTACCTGTTACCTCAGTGTTGATAGATCAGCAACAGTAAGTATGGCTCGACCAGAGCAACACAACTCTTAGTGATTATGAC